TCTGCATATTCTATGATTATTTCATTCTCAAAAACAGGCATTGCCTGAGAGTGAATGGGAACAATGCCTTAAGGCAGTGATTTTCAATCTTTTTCATCTTACGGCACACAAGCTAATGACTGAAATTCTGCAACATACCAAAAAGTACATATTTTACCAATCTGACAAAGAATAGTTATAATTTTGATTATTCATACTGGATAGCCTGTTGTGTTGGCTGTTGCTGTTTTTTTATTTGACAATGAAAGGGAAAAGTTGGTGCCCCTGAATAGTCAGGTATTGCATGTTTGAAAAATTCTTGTGGCACACCAGTTGAAAATTGCTGCCTTAAAGTGTAACTTGTTAGGTATTCTTTAACTGGTTTTTTTTTTTTTTAATAAGTTGTGAACAAAATGGGGTTTTTAAACCTCAACCCATTACTTCCCCCAAAGGGCACAAGAGCGCAAACCAAAAAACTCAGCTCAAAACAAGTGTAAAGCAAGCAAAAAGAAGTTAACAGTTATTAAAGGAAACTCTGGTTAGACTTTATATTAGAAATAACTTCGTTAAAGCTTCTATTTTATTTTTTTAACGTTATCATTATGTATGTACACATTATAAACGTAAAAAATGATTTATCTAACTGATTCCTTTTGTTACCTGGCTAGCAGGGAAAAGGGGTCGAGGCCGGTCCTGACCTGTTACAATGAAGACTGACTTGCTATGTGGGATTACACCAGAAGCTTGCAGTGGAGTAATGGTAAGGAAATCAAGCAACCTTAAATATCTCGGCTGTATAGGAGCATATTCTATTACAGAAGACCTTCCTGTGAAGATCATGGAATCAGATACAGGACATTGAACTAATACTTGGACTTTGATATGAATTTCTTTAACAATTTTCTCTGCAGTGCAAGTTATTAAACTAAAGCTACTCTATTTTCCAAATGTGTTCCAACAGAAATTCTTCATAACTTCTAGCATGGTATCTTAATAAAGAATAAAGTTCTTCTCTTTAAAAAATCTGCTCTAAGTAGATTTTTCCCCTGTTTTTTTTTTTAAATTAAGGATCCCAGCAGTGGTTTTCTGAAATATTCTCTTGAATTTGTGCATTTAAATTTTATTGCAGTGGTATAGATGAATACCATTGTTGGTATCCTTTAATTTTATTTCTGCTCACCAAGGTTAATCATGATTGTCTATATCTTTTTTATAGTAATCACTTTTGAATTGTGTTCAGATACGCAGTTTCAGGTGTAATCATCAGAGCTGGTTAGTCAGGCATTCCAGATAGTGGTTCTTTTCAGAACCTTTTTTAAAGGGTTGGTTAACTACCTCAGTAGCAGAGGATTGAACTATACCCTGTCTGTACTGTACATAGAAAAATCTTTGTAGATAAAAGCAAGGCTTGTTAAATGATATGAGGGTAAGATTTTAATATACCAAATGTAACATTCTTAATTGCCTTTAGTTTCAGAGGCTTGTAAGACTTCCTCATGACCATCATAACAGGCCTTGCTTTTGTCGTATTTTGTGGCTGAAAAAGCAGCCTTGCTTCTTCAGATATTGTAGTTATTTGGATGTATAATAGTTTAGCAAGATGTTACTTTTGTAAGACATCAGATGTTCAAAAAAGTGCATCCGAACTTGTACTAAATACTGCAGTGTCCCTTTATAAAATAAAGTCAGACTAAAACTGACAGTTGTACAGCGAAGCCTGACATTTGGATATTTTGAAGTTTTTTTCATAAATCATAGAGATTAGTATATGGCTGTAGTTTAGCTTTTTAGGTAAAAGGTATGTTTCATTAGTGCATTTCTTATTGCTGATCACTGCAAAAATGTGAGTCAGCTTTCCATTTCTTATGCAGGTCATGATAACTTGTAGAATAGAGTACAATCATTTGTGCTATGTTTTTAATTTTCTAAAGCACCTTGATGACAGTGAGTGTTCAGTGGTGAAGCATCCTCTATTGAATCACCCTCAAATTTTTTTTGCCAAGTCCAAAATTGATAGCTTAAAAGTCAAAAGCGAAATTATAGTTTAATTAGGACTTGGTACAAAGAAATCCCTTTTCCCCTTCCCCAAAGGGATACTGCAGTTATATCACATACCCAATAGGCACCACAATGAAGATCAGAGCTTATTATACTTAAGGTTTTATACACACCAGTTTCCCCAGTAAATGCAAATTTAACAAGAAAATTAGACATGTCATATGTTCAAAATGCTCATGGCAAACAATCATTTTGCATTCCTGCAAATAAAATTGTTTTATACTGTAAGCTGGAGGCGAGTGTAACTTATTTTTGTAATAAAGTTTTTATTTTTTTTATGTGTCATTAATATAAATGTGTGTTAGTAGAGAAATATTCTGGTTTAAAACTTAGAATTTCACACATTTCAGTATGTTTATTTGTACTTACATAATATTAGGATAGTGGTTGCCAATAGCCTGTATGTTTCACATGAATTGGTTTTTTTTTATGTTATCTTAATAAACCATTTTAGTATGTTGTATGTCAGTTACTGGGATAGCTGGGACATAGAGTGTAATTTAAAATTTGTCAATAAGTATTCATTGGAATATATGTAAATGTGCCTTGCCGGTTATTGAAACTTACCTACAAAATGAGTATGGGGTGACAAAAATTAGTTCCTGGTGCTTAATGAAACTTTCTGCCACTGATTTTATACCTTACCCCGTGCTTTTTTAAAGTACACCTCTCTGAAATCTTAGTGTAAGTTTGAGGGCTACACAAAACATTTACATTTCATTTTGACATATAATGAGTATAATAGGTTGTGGAAAGTGGGTAAACTCAATGTAGCCTTCAGTAAAATTGAATCTCAGTGTAATCCTTGGTGCTGGCATTTCCCAGTTTCAAGGAATAAAATGATCCCATCAAAGAGGTCATTGCCATGCCTATTGGCACTTTACTGTCATACCCTTTTTAAGGGACACTGTCAAGGTGTTTTTAAGTTAATTCTCAGAATTATTAGTTGGGATTTTAGGACGGGTTTGTTTGGCTTAAGTAAGAACTGCATTGTCAAAGTTGAAAGATGAACATTTTTGTGAGTTCACAAATGTGTTCTTAAAACATTAAAATAATGAAGCTGTGGGTTTTTAAGACTTATTTGGCATTCTTAATTTGGGGGTTTGGGAGGGAAAACATAAATTGTGAACAATTGATGGGTAATGTAAACAATGGTGATGAAATATATACACACTCAAGTGAAATTACTTGACAGTGTTCATTTGAATAACTTTGAATTCAAGCCATTATAATTTTAAAATTAAATATCATTTGCACTGTTCTGATAATGGGTGCAGTTTTTGAGCAATATAATCAGAGCTAAATATGCATGTAGTGATTAGTGATGTGAACAATTAAGTTCTGAGAAGAAATACTAACTGGTATTTTCAAACTTAAATTTCTGTAGTAAAATCATTATCAAACTCTTATCAGAAATCAAGGAAAACAGGCAATGCATATAAACATACTTTTGAATGTTGTGTGGCCTATAAAGCAATAATGCAATTTATATGGAATGTCATGGGATATGAGAAATGGAAATGCAAAAATAACTAATCCTTTAGTAAAAATGTCAACATGTTAAAAGGGGAATGTTAACTAATGTAGGTTATTGCTATTTGTGATTTGTTTATGGGTTCTTGGCTTTGACAGCTTCAAAGAATGGACAGATGACAAGTTAAAGAAATTTTGTACATAATGTCAAGGAATGGGTCTTAAATCCAAGAGTCAAGTCCCTTCCTTGGGGTGAAAAATGTATCTTTAAAGCATTCTGATTGTTAAAAAGGAAAACTTGAGTTACTTAACCAAAACAGACACAAGATTTTGTTTCTGCAGACTACTTGGCAAACAAAAGTGATCATCAATTTAGTCAGTTTTCAGAAAGTTGCTTTGTGAGAAAATTGTGTTGAATATATTCTTTTTATGGAAAATTTTCAGTCACTGCAACTGAATCAGATGTTAGAAATGAAGGAGGAATTGAGCACAAAAAATGGTTGCACATTCATGGTGGCAGTTAACATCATGAGAAATTCACTGGTTACTGCAAGTCTGATTTAACAAAACATTTTCCTCATGATAAAATATGAAGAAAGAAATGGATTGATGGGGTGATTTGGGGTATTCACTTGTATATAAGATATTTGAAAAGACTTAATATCAGGCTCGGTTGGCAGAGTTGTCACATCAGAATAGCTTTTTTGACTGATAAGTCAAAAGTCACTGTTGATCAGAAACAGCAAATGACCTTGTTATTAAAGAGTATGACATGTAGTCTGTATTTTAAGGGGAGAAATAAAAAGAAGAAGGATTTCATACTAGGAGAGGGAGATAGAGTAAATTATTGCTCGGGTTCCTACAACTTCAAGAATACCGACCATAACCATTTTCTCCCCAGTGATGTATATAAAATTTTTATCTGAGCATAGGAATTCAGTGGCAGGTATAAAATGAATGAACTTAAGTAATACGTAAAATGAACATACTTGTGGGGATGATGTATAGTATTACTCAATAATCATACCACTCAATAGGGCATGCCACTACTTTTTTAAAATGCTAATTATAAACCAATGTTCAAAGATATTTTTAACTGTGGGCAAATTAGTAGATGGACTTTTTGGTCTGTCACTTTTTAAAAAAGTACTTAAGATACAAGTTCTATTAGTACCACAGTCTGCCTTCAGTAATATACCTAAAATATTTTTCAGGACCAGAAGTATTTAGTTTGGAAAAAAACAAATCTTTTTTACAAATGCAAAACAGTATTATAACTAATGCTCTGGTTCAAGATTAGGTTTTTAATGATATTTACAGTAGTCTGATAAATACTTAGAAGTCTGGCATTGAGAAACAAAAGCTTGTACTGACTAATTTTATTTAAAAAGTAATAGTTCTTTAGCTTATTTAAATTGTCTCTTACATTTATTTATCCATAGAATTTATATTTATTTCATTCCTTTCATCTCCCTGAAAACTGTCTGCAGGCTTTTTGATTTGGATTAGATGTGTGAAGTACTGTCTTTTGCCAAAAACCTCAAATTACCTGTTCTTTTCAACGTAGTGAGTTTGTGCTTGTTTGAAGATCAGTTCAAAAACTATCTGTACTATCTGTACTGCCTCTGATGTTAAGATTTTATGTATAGCATAAGGAAGCTAGCTCTGACTATATTTTCCTAAGAATAAAGACCTATTTTTGTAGCATGTCTTAGGATCTCCAGGAGTCCAAGAATTATTGTGGGTGTCCTCTATCGTTCTTCATTTAACAGCTTTTAAATAGACACTTGGAATCTTTAGAGCTCTTTCTTCTTTTAATTACCCATACATTTTAAAGTAACTAACCAATGGTAAAAACAAATTCCCCAAGATCTCTAGTGCAAGCACATGGTGGGGATATGTGTAGAATAAATGTTGGTCTTCATTTAATTCGATGATAAAAATATTCTGTGGTCATACACATGCTAGTGGACTTAAATTGTAGTTTACATGCCCCATCATGCACTGTTTGTTCTTCCATTCTCCTAGTCTTCCTCTGAAAGTTTGAAAATGAGATTGAAGTTTCAAGTAAGTCAGGAAAGAGGAGCGAACAAACATCTATTTAAATGAAATGTTGCAACTTAGATGACTGCAAATGAGGTTAGGTTCATGAACAGTTTAAAATGTGTTTCATAAAGTTGAGTTGGCAGATTATCAAAGAGTGGGGAACTTGTAAATATACTTTTCGGTGGGGGTGGGGGTGTTGGCTCATGACCCTAAGATTTCTTCAAAGGGAGCAAGCAGTAGGGGTAGTATAGGCCACTTGAGAACAAAACTCCATTTAGGTCATTTAGTACAGAGATTAGTTTGTGGTCAGGATTATCAGAATTTACACATAATTGGAAACAAACCTGTCATTTCAAAACAGTGGTAAGTTTTATACAGGAAAAATGTACTACTAGGGCATTTTGTGAACTATGTTGCCATTTTGGCTCTTGTACAGATGCCAAATGAGTATTTTCCTTCCGGTTGAAACCACCACTGCTGAATAAAACTTGGGTGGGAGAGAAGTCCTAATAAACTGCTATGGAAATCAGTGTCATCAGGTCACCCTAAAATGTGTTTCTAATACAAGAGAGAAAATTAGGGCAAAGATGAGGGCATTTTGAAGTCTCAGTGAATATCTGATTTTTTATTTCTCCATAAAAGAATTTAAAGTTCCGGTCTGAGAGGCTGCTATATGTAATGTTAATAAATTGTGATTTTCTGACTTTTTAGACATCTAATTGTATCTGAGAAAATCCTTATGACACAGAACATGAGCTTGTTTTGGAGAGAATTTTAGGATGCCTGAGAGAATTGCCATCTTCTGGCACTTAGGAATTACAGCCAATTTTACTTTTTCCAGGCAAAAGGACAGGTTTTGGTATGGACAAGTAATTAACACAGATTAACTGATACTATAACTAGCACTTGAAACATCTGTAGAAAAATGTAGATCCCCACATTCTATCTTCTAAGTTATACTGAAAGAATAATATCACTCTGGTTTGGCTCTTTTAATGAAGTTAATTTTAAATTGAGATGAAGGAAATTTGAGATACAGCATTTATATAACAGTTTTTTGTTTGAACTTCAGTATCTTGATTTTTCTCCTTTTGAAAATTATAAAATGCTGGTGCTGCATCATTTGAACACAGAATTGTCTAAGATGAGGTGCGTCTTTTATGTCATGAGTAAAGAAACCCTTATGGTTTCATTTTTTTAAAGAATAATGTTTGTATCGATGTTGCTTAAGTTGGAAGCCTCAGGAATTAGGCCTCTGAAATTGCTTTAATTTCTTCAACATCCTGAAAAACTAGAAAGGCATATATACTCATTTTTCTCTGTATTTAATATGTGCAGTGAGCTTGGAGGGAAATGAGCAACATGACAAAGGTCATTTATAAAAATTGGCAGAATACACTTCAGTTTTCTGTAGTCACATGTATATGTAGTACAGTGTAGTTTTGGCAAAATTTGATAGCCCCCCTTTTTTTTTTTTTAAGATTTTATTTATTTACTCTTAGAGGGAAAGGGAAGGAGAGAGGGAGAGAAACACCTCTTGGTTGCTTCTCACACATTTCCCAGCTGGGCACCTGACCAGCAACCCACTCATGTGCCCTGACTGGGAAATGAACCAGGGGCCTTTTGGTTTGCAGGCTGGCACTCAGTCTTCTGAGCCACACCAGCCAGGGCATCCCTTGCTTATTTTCTAGAAACAGTAAACATATTACATGAATTTGCAGAAAACAGTTATTAGGAATCCTTCACCATTAATAATCGGTGTAGTTCTTTCTAGCCATTCTTAGTTCCTTCGAGGCACTCTAATTTTATATTCATTTATAAATTGATTTAAGACATGGAAACTTTGTTCTAAGAAATTTTAGTTTTATCTCTTGCTTTCCTGAAGATCCATTTAGCATTTGACAGCATCAGCAAAGTGAAGGAGCCCAGCAGCAAATTCTGTAG